TATCATTAGAATTTATAATTATTGTTGTTGTTAAGTGCCCTCAAGTCAGTTCCCACTCATAGTGACCCTGTATAAAGTTTCTGAGGAGCAGCTGGTGAGCTTGAACCACTGACCTTGTGATTCCAACCGACCTTGCAGTCTAGCGTATTAACCCACAGTGCCACACCAGGAATTTATAATACGTACATGAAACTAGAGTCCTGATATGATGTTGTAGGATAAGCACTGGACTGCTCACCACAAGGTCTACAGTTCAAATTTACCAGCTGCTCCTTGGAAATCCATTCTAGGGTAGTTATGAGTTGGAACTGACTGGATAGCACTTTAACAATAACAACTTGAAATTATTTATAGAAGCTAAATTTGAGAGTAGTGAACATTTGGATGAACACTTTTGTCAGAATTCTACTTGGTAGAAGCCTCTTATGGATTGAATTGTGGGCTCTCCCCCCCTCCCCCCCAATATGTGCTGTAAATTCTAACCTTCACATCTGTGTTTATAACCCCATTTGGAATGGGTTGTCTTTGTTATGTTCATGAGGCAGGATTAGTGTAGGGTATGTTTTGAGTCAGTGTCTTCCATTTTAAAAACAAGCAAGCAGAAATGAGAGAGGATGGAGACTGGCCACTTGAAGAGTATTTACTACCATGGAGCCAAGGAGAAGGGCCTTGCCGCAGAGCCCACAGAGAGAAAGCCTTCCCTGAGAGGCAGCACGCAAAATCAAATACATTTCTGTTTGTTCAAGCCACCCACTTACGGCATTTCTGTGATAACACCAGGGAACTACGCCTAACCCGACTATGCCTCTGTGAAAATACTATGATCAGTTTAGTATTTCAGTAATTTAAAGACATTATCTGTTCAGCAGATGGATTTTTGTGAAGATGTTGTTGTTGCTATGTGCCGTGGAGTGGGTCCCGACTCATAGTGACCTTGTTACAGGGTTTCTGAGGCTGTAAATCTTTACAGGAGCAGAAAGCCTCATCTTTCTCCTACGGAACAAGTGGTAATTTCGAACTGCTGACCTTGTGGTTTGCAGCCCGATTTGTAACCACTACGCTACCAGAGCTCCTTTTGATAAGATGTAGTAGCCAGTATATCCCGATTTCTAGGCTAATGTGTAAAACTACATGAATGCATTTGGGGGCAGAGTTTAAGAAGCGGCAAGCGAGTGTAATTGACATCTTCCTCCATGTTCTGATCATGAGTCTCTCAGTATGGATGCTGTTGGTTGCCATCAAGTCAGTTACAATTTACAGTGATCTCATGTGAGAGAGCTGATCTGACCATATGGGTTTTTTTCCCTGTAGGGTTTTTAGGGTGTAATTTTATAGAACCAGATTGCCAGGTCTTTTTTCTATGGAGCTGCTAGGTATGTTCAAACTTCCACCCTTTTACTTAGCAGCCGAGAACTTAACCCAGAGCTTAACCGATACACCACCAGGCTCCTTAGCTAATCTTTTATTGTTGTTGCCATCCCTTTGTGAGAAGAGCAATGATAGGAGACTGCTGCCCTTGGAGTCCTGGTGTAGCACTGTAGGATAAGCACTGGGCTGCTAACCACGAGATCTGCTGTTCAAACCTGCCAGCTGCTCCTGGGAACCCCTGTAGAGGGTCGTGAGTTGGATCATCCCAGGTCATGGATTGTTGCAGTTAAAGCGATTGGATTCCTTTTGTACATTGCTGCCTCCTTCAGTGACCTTCCCTCTTTGCAGATCACTTACTTCAGCCTCTGGTACTACAATAAGCAAAGCCAGCGCCGGTGGGTGGATTTGGAGAAACCTTTGAAGAAGCAGCTGGATAAGTATGCCTTGGAACCTACGGTCTATTTTGGAGTGGTGTTTTACGTGCCGTCTGTCTTGCAGCTGCAGCAGGAGAGAACCAGGTGAGAAGTCATGGGCTGCTTACTTTCAGGGAGTGACTCTGGTGGCTTCAGAACAGGAAAACGAAGCTTAAACAGTCACAAGGGGAAAGACTGAAACTTTGTCCTCCCGCCCCCATGTTTCCCCACCGTCTTACACGGAGGCTCTGGTCTGTGTGATGCCGGAGTGTGCTGCTGCAAGCTGCACGAGTTCCCTGGGCACAGAACAGTGACTAAAAGGGAAAACAAGGTTTTTACCCGGGCTGTGAACTCTCCTTATAGTGATGTCACCTTTAATGTTTTTGTTTTGTTTCTGATCCTTTGTAACAATGAATTGAGAGAGGATGTTAAAAAATAACAATGAAAAACTAGTCACAAAATCTGTGTTCACTTCTCATTGTGTATAGGAGGGTTCTTATAATTCTTATTCCAGCAGCTGTTTTTTCTAAGTTTTTATTTAGAATTAAGTGATCGTTTACATGGAAGAACATCAGCATTACATTCATCCTATAGTATTTTGTTTCATTGCAATGATTACAGTCCCCTCCGTACATCATCATTCAACAGCATTAGCTTCTATTCCCTTTGGGTTTTTGTTTTTTTTTCGTTATGTACACTGAAGCACTCAGGAATATATGACCATTTAAACAACCAAAGGGTGCACCCTGGAAGACTGTCCCCCCACGCCCCCCACGCCCAGCCACACTGCACACAGCTCCTCTTCCTCCCTGAGTCCAGAGTCCCCAGCCGCTCCATCTCTCTACGTCATCATCTCTGCCTCCATCTCTGGCATTGCTACAGCCGCTGTATTTTTTCTGTGTGTGTGTGTGTGTGTGTATGAGAAGTTGGGTGATGATGCTGTTGAATGCTGTCGAGAAGTCAGGCATTTAAAAACGAGACTTATTTTCATAGAGTTTTCTTGGGTATAGTCTTTACTGGAACAGATTGCCGGGTCTTTTTCCCACAGAGCAAGCACAGGGCTTGAACGTCGGAGTGGCAGTTGGGCACTTAACCATTGTTCCTGCTGAAGTAGGTGAGGCGTGCAATGACAGAAGAGTTTGGCCAATATGTAGTGTACTTTAAGGAACTCTGCTAGTGTGCTGTAGAGTCAGGACTGGACTGCTAACTGCAAGATCGGCTGTTCAAACCCACCAGTTGCTCCTTGGGAGAAAGATGAGGCTGTCTGCTGTGGTAAAGATTTATAGCCCTGGAAACTGGATATAGTATATATATAGGCTCACCAGACGTTGGAATTGACTTGATGGTCGCAGGGCTTTGTGTGTGTGTGTGTGTGTGTGTGTATGGTTTTTGGTAGTGTACTTTAAGGGGACAAAAACAGGAAGGAAAGATGAGATTGAGGACGGTGGAGGAACGACATGTTCTCTCTCATTCTTGAAGACAAAACAGAAAGCAGCGGACCAAAATTTGTGTTCTTGAGCCTGCTGTACAAAGGTTCCTGAAATCCACTTCAGCTTCATCTGTTGAGTCCAACTGGGCTACTTCCAGTTCCCTGAGATGCCTCAGGCCCTTTCATCTTTGTGGCCTACATCTTCCTCTCATATTTATGTACTGGAATCACACTCATCTTCCAAATTGTAGTACAGAAGGCCCCTTCTCCATGAAGCCTTCTCGGACCCCCAGGCTAACATGAACTTTGCCTTCTTCAGACTATCCTAGAATTTGCCTTTGCTTATGAAATGATGTCAGTTGCCATGGTCTTTCATTATAATTATTTATGTACATGCCTTACCTGTTTCCTGGATTCCCTGATTTCTTTAGCTTTACTCTACCCCCAATATATAGTGCTCTGTGCACAGTTAAGTACCTGATACTGCCCCGTGTTTGCAGAATGTTGTTTTTAAACACTGTGTTTGTCAATTACTAATTGGAAGGATAGGCAAATCCAGAGAAACTGGACCAGGTGGTAGGGATAAACCCATCCTGGCTATGAAATGATTATTTGTAAAGAGAGACGTGGAAGCCAGGAGAAAAAAATACCAACATGAATGGATCATTTTGGCTTATTTATTTAAATACATATTAAACATATGTAATGATATGCTCTCGGGACTTTGGTCAGGGTGGGAGATGAATACATGAGTGGGAACCCTATCATTTGACCCTGGAGGAGTTGCTCATATGCTGGAACTGGCAGTTTGTGTGAGAAATCACTACGAGTACAGTACATTGTGGTGACGACTACAGTAAGTAAAGTGCTAGATTCCTAATAGTGTGTGGGGAAATTGAACCAGAAAGGTACGGAAGCTGACTTCTCAACTGACTGAGGAAGGAATTTTCTAGTTAGAGGAAATAGCGGTGTAAAGCAGGGGGGTAATTGAGAGACCATATTTTCAGGGAATTTCAGATGTTACTTGGAGAAGAGAGAGGAAGCTTGAAAAAGCAGCATGTCTTAGCCATGAAGTTATGAGAAGACATTTTCTAAAGTTAATGGATTGGAACAATTAACTTTGACTTTTACACAGACGCCTCTGAAACCATCTTGGAGAGTAGATCAGAGGGGCAAGACTATAGATAGGGCCGTTGATGCCACCGTCTAAGTATCAGTCTAAGAATGTGGTTTTGAACAAATCATTTAGTTACAGGAAGAGTTGAGAACGTGGTCTTGAACAGATCATTTAGTTATAGGAAGAGTTGAGAATGTGGTCTTGGACAGATCATTCAGTTACAGGAAGAGTTGAGAATGTGGTTGAGCAGATCATTTAGTTTTAGGAAGAGATGAGAATGTGGTCTTGAGCAGATCAGTTAGTTACAGGAAGAGTTGAGAATGTGGTCTTGGACAGATCGTTTAGTTATAGGAAGAGTTGAGAATGTGGTCTTGGACAGATCGTTTAGTTATAGGAAGAGTTGAGAATGTGGGCTTGGACAGATCATTCAGTTACAGGAAGAGTTGAGAATGTGGTCTGAACAGATCACTTAGTTATAGGAAGAGTTGAGAATGTGGTCTTGAACAGATCACTTAGTTACAGGAAGAGTTGAGAATGTGGTTGAACCAAATCACTTAGTTACAGGAAGAGTTGAGAATGTGGTCTTGAACAAATCATTTAGTTACTGGAAGAGTTGAGAGGGAAATGGGTCTACTAGATGCAGTCAGCAAGATTAATGACTAGGATCTTAAAAGCTCCCAATCAGCCATCTAAGGTGCAACAGGCGGTCTCTCCATGTGTGGAGAACTGAAGAGTGATGCAAATTGAAGATGCTTGAAATCAATTAGTCTAAAGGACTAATGGAAAATGTAAACATTAGTCTCCTCAACCTCGAGACCAGAACTAGATGGTGCTGACTACCATACCCTCTACTCAGGAAGTGATCACAGTAGAAGGTCCCAGATAGAGTGGGAGACAGTGTGGAACTTTAGAAAATGTCTTCTCATAACTTCATGGCTACATTTACCTAAGGACAAAGTTCAGAAAGGTTGGGAAAGAGGGTGGAATGGAAATAGGAACCACAGGGAGGAAGTGGATTAGCTTTTGTTACATGCAGGGAATTATAATCATTGAAATGAAACAAAATATATGATTTGTTGAAGGTAAACTTGATGTGTTCTGTAAATTTTAACATAATTCACAATAAAAAGTAAAAAAAAAAAAAAAGCTCATTGATTAGTTGATTAGTTGTGTTTTGTTGTGTTATGCTATTGAGTTGACTCATAGCAAACAGACACACAACAGAATAAAACACTGCCTAGTCACGTGTCATCCTCAAAATCATTATGCTGGAGGCCATTGCTGCTGCCACTGTGCCAGTCCATCTCATTGGGTGCCTTCCTCTTTTTCGCTGTCCTTCCAAGGATCATGTCATTTTCTAGGATCTGGTCCCTCCTGATAATATATCCCAAGTGTGAGAGACATCATCCTGGCTTCTAAGGAGCATTCTGATCTATACTAAGAAATCTGGAAAACATATTTCTTCCAACACAGATTTGTTTGTTCTTCTGACAGTCCTTAGTACTTTGACTATATACTTCTAACACCATAACTCAAATGCATCAATTTTTCTACAGTCTTCCTTACCTCATTGTCCACCTTTCACATGCATGTGAGGTAATTGAAAATACCACACCTCAGTCCTAAACTGAGGTCTTTACTTTTGAACACTTTAAAGAGGTTTTGTGCAGCAGATTTTCCTAATGCAATACATCATTTGATTTCTTGACTGCTGCTTCCATGAGTGTTGATAGTTGATCCAAACAAAATGAAGTCTTTGACAACAGCAACCTTTTCTCCATTTATCATGCTTTTATTTATTGGCCCAGTAGTGAAGATTTTTGCTCTCACTACATTGAGGTGCAATCCATATGGAAGGCTGTGGTCCTTGATCTTCCTCTGTAAGTATTTTAAGTGCTTTTCACTTTCAGCAAGCCAGGTTGATTATCCACTTATGTTGCCACACTCTTCGTTATGTAATCCAGCTCCTCAGATAATTTGCTCAGTATACAGATAGCATATAAGTATGGTGAAAGGACGCAGACAGCCCTGGCATACACCTTTCCTGATTTTAAACCATTCGGTGTCCCCTTGTTCTGTTTGAATGACTGCCTCTTGGTCTGTTTCTCATGAGCATAATAGAGTAGTGTTCTGGAATAATCATTCTTTCTTGTGTTATCTATCGCTTGTCATGGTCCACACAGTTGGAGGCCTTTTTATAGTCAATAAAGTACAGGTAGATACCTTTCTGGTATGCTCTGCTTTCACACAAGCTCTATCTGATGTCAGCAATGATATCCCTAGTTCCATATCCTCTTTTGAATCCGACTTGAGTTTCTGGCAGTACCTTGTCAGTGTACTGTTGCAGCTGTTTTTGAATTATTTAAAAAAAATTTTTTTACTTGCATGTAATATTAATGGTATCATTCGATGAATTCTGTGTTCCTTTGTGTCACCTCTTTGGTATGGGCACAAATAGGATCTTTTCCAGTCAGTTGGCCAGCTAATTGTTTTCCAGATTTCTTGGTATAGATCAGGGGTGGGGAGCATCCAGTCCACTGGCTATATAAGACCTTGGCAAGGCAACCACAGTTCTGGCTATCACATCATAGTAGGCTGATGTTTAAGGTGATAATTTTATATGGCCTGTATAAAGGAGCTCTGGTAGAGTAGTGGTTATGAATCAGGCTGTGAACCATAGGGCCAGCAGTTCGAAACTACCAGCTATTCCATGGGAGAAAGATGAGGCTTTCGGCTCCTGTAAAGATTTACAGCTACGGAAACCCTGTACTGGGTGGCTCTGAGTCAGAACCAACTCTACAGCACATAATTACCACCACCAATGATGTTATAAATATCCAAATGGCCCGTGGCAAAAAAAGATTGCCTACCCCTGGTATAGAAGAGTGAGCATTTACAGTGCTGCATCAGTTTGTTGAAAGATTTCAATTTGTGTTTCAACAGTTCTTGGAGCCTTGGTTTTTGCCAACACCTTCAGTGTAGCTGAGACTTCTTCCTTCATACTATCGATTCTTGATCATATGTGACTTCTTGAAATCTTTGACCGTTGACCATTTCTTTTTGGTGCAGTGACTTTGTATATACCTTTCATCTTGTTTGGATGCTTTTCCCATCATTTTAATATTTTTCCCATGGAGTCCTTTAGCATTACAAGTTGAGGCTTCAAGTTTTTCCTCAGTTCTTTTATCTTGAGAAATGTTAAGCGTGTTCTTCTCTTTGGGTTTTCTAACTCTAGGTCTTTGCAGGTTGTTGTTGTTGTTGTTAAGTGCCGTTGAGTCAGTTCTAACCTATAGCAACTCTGAATAGGGTTTCCAAGGAGCGCCTGGTAAGCTTGAACCATTGACTTTGTGGTTCAAACAACTTTGCAGTCCAGCACATTAGCCCACAGTGCCACACTAGGGCTCTAGGTCCTTTCATATTTCATTATAATTCTTGACTTTGTCTTCTCAGGCTGCCCTTAGCACCAACAAATACTGTCAATGGACAGTTGGTGATTGAAATTCAACAATAACCTATACAATAACATCAAAGCTGTGAAACATTTAGCTAATATGATTGGCAACAGATGTGAAAACCCTGAATACTGCCAACTACTAGACATTGTTGATGGAAATTACAGAAGTGCTAAGTAGATGGGGCTATACCTTGTTCATGGATCGGAAGGCTTAATATTGGTGTGGTGCTGTTGCTGATTGCCATCGAGTGTGTTCCCACTCATGAGGACCCCATGTATAATGAAATAAATGTTACCCTGTCTTGTGCCATCTTCACGATCATTTGTTGATAAGTTCATCAATTCGGTTCCGACTCAGATCGACCCTCTGTAGGATTTCTGGAGTTTGGCGTGGTGCTGTGGGTTAATGTGCTGGACTACAAGGTTGGTTTGAACCGAATGGTTGGCGGTTCAGGCTCACCAGCTGCTCCTAGGAAATCCTATACAGGGTCACTATGAGTCGGAACCAACTTAATAGCACTTCACAACAACAACAGTAGGGTTTCTGAGGCTGTAAAGGGAGAACAGAAAGTTGTTTTCTTTTTCCCAAAGATCAGGAGGTGGGCTCGAACCTTGTGGTTTGCAGTCCAGCGTATATCCTGCAGAGCCACCGCACTCCTTCATGATCACTGGTGTGTGTGGATTAAAAGCATCTTAGCAGCTATTCATTTGGAATGTCATAAAAAAATACTTCAGCATAAGCCTGGCCTGAAGTAGCACAAACTATAGGGCAAGTCTACCTCTCTGGATAAGCAAACTCTGGTATTTCCAAGCTACTACACAAAGTTTGGCCATTGATTGGGACGTGTAGAGACTATATTACAAGGCATGAAACAACCAGTTGTCTTCTAGTTGGTTTTAGTCTTGAATTAACTATTGTCATTGATAAGTGACTCAGTAAATTGGTTTAATTTGTGTGTTTGGTGCAATAAATTAATTAAACGTGAGTGTGTCTCTCAGTAAATTCACTAGATTTATGTGTGTGTGTGCACTCATGTGAATATGGGCTAGGGCATTCCATTCACTTTTTTAAATCCTCTAGTGTCAGGGTTTGTGCTCCTCTGCCAAGTTACAGTGGCGCTGTGG